GTGTCCCGAGGTCATGTGATTGCCTTTTGCAACCTTCTGACTAGCAAATTCAATGGGGAAGCCAGATTCACTTAACTCAGTGGTTCTCAACCTGTGGGTCGGGACCCCATTTGGGGTAGAACGACCATTTCACGGGGGTCACCAAACAAGGCTGTCCGCCATTTTTTCCCCCTTTTCTTTGGCTACGCCCCTGGCACCCAGTGATGTATAAGTGGTGGGGGTCACCACAACATGGGGAACTGTATTATGGGGTCACGGCATTAGAAAGGTTGAGAACCACTGACTTAACTGCTTTATTGACTTAACTCTAGTGATTCATTTAACAAGTGTGGCAAGAAAGGTCACAAAATATTGCAAAACTCACTTAATAAATGTCTCAGAACATTTCTCTTGCAACAGAAATTTTGGGCTCAATTGTGGTCATAACTTGAGGACTACCTATACTCAGTGATCTATACTATGTAAGGCTAGAGAGCACCAATTAGGTAATCTGTCACTCTAGCACAGTGATGGCAAACCTTTTAGAGACCGAGTGGCCAAACTGCAATCCCAAACCCACTTATTTATCGCAAAGTGCCAGGGCTGCATCAGCACTGTAGTGCCCTCAGGGGGGCATGGCCCACTGGGTGGGCGTGGCTGCAGTGGTCACAGCAGACTGGATAAGCGTGGTGGGGGCCAGTCCCTTGCCATTTCTAGGGCATCCCTGGGGGACCAACACTGCTTGCTTCCTCACTTCCTGCCTTGTCGCTTCCAAACACCATGTGCTCACTACTCTGGCGAACTCTGCTGGGGCGACCGCGCATGTGCCCACAGAGAGGGCTCTGAGTGCTGCCTCTGGCACGTGTGCCATAGGTTCGCCACCACTGCTCTAGCATTTCAGACAAGCGACAGTTGGTTCTCTCCTTGATTAGTTTCCATCCTTTGGTTCTTGTCTTGCCTTCTGGTGTTTTAGAGAATAGGTTGACTCCCTTGCCTTTGTAGGAGCCCCTCAAATATTGGAGCACTGCTATCATGTCTCCCCTGGTCCATAACCTTATTTACTTTAGAGGGGATTTGATATTTTTGCCAGGGTATGTGTTTGAGTGGTTTAAACTGGCCAAACACTTGGTGATTTTATTTAGACTAAGTCTCCTACTCTATCCTGTGTAATAGAGGGGAGGGAATATAAATTGGACAGAACAAATTATGGTGTACAATGTGTAAAACAAATAAATTATTACTCTTAATGTATTTTACACATTCAGCCATGCAGCCTCAGTTGACAGGTTCTAATATCTCCCTCAGTCTACTGTAGTTTTCTGTCTGTCTGTCTATCTGAGGGATCAAAAATGTGAAAAAGAAACAAATAGTGTACCTTTCTCGCAATATAGCCATTGATGTTAAAGGGCGGGATTGGTCCAAAATTACCCAACTTGCTCTTGGGATTAAGACAGAACTAGAACTCGGTCTCCCACTTTCTAGCACATTCTCTTTAACCACTACATCAGACTGTCTCTTAAATACAGTTTGGCTCACGCTAGTCAGCATTATGTATTCCCTCTCATATCCTTGGCTTTTGTTCTACGAATTGTTTTATTTTCACAAGGGAAAGCTTGGTACTGTTTAAACAACTGACCCTTTCTATTAATTCACTTGTTGACTAATGAGGTCCTAATGGCTGTTTGAAGTTGGGAGATCAATACAGTAAATCTGAAAAAAAAACACTAGTTAATTAACTGGAACGGATGGCAAGGACTGCCACTATTGAACGGAAAGCGATTAATTTCCCTCTGGTGCTAATATGCAACCGAATAACATTGAAGATGATAAGGAGAAGAATACCAAAAGGCTGTGTCTAACAAGGGCTTAGTAAATGGTGTTACAGGGGGAATCTTGAGAGCAACAGAAAACTTGTGACTTTTGGTCCCAGCTGGGACGAAAAAAGCACAGAGAATGGACGGTCCTTGCTGTCATGTGACGAAATGCATAATTGGGAGTATCTTGATTGACACAGCAGCCCTTCCTCTGGCAAAAAATCAGCAGGGACAATGAACTGAAAATCATGCACGCAACATGCTTAATTTTTCTATGTGTTGTTGTTGTTAACTGCGAAGTGGTGTCCGACCCATCGTGACCCCATGGACAACGTTCCTCCAGGTCTTCCTGTCCTCTACCATCTTCTGGAGTCCATTTAAGTTTACACCTCCTGCTTCAGTGACTCCATCCAGCCACCTCATTCTCTGGCATCCCCTTCTTCTCTTGCCCTCCATCTTTCCCAGCATTAGGCCCTTCTCCAGTGAGTCCTTCCTTCTCATCAGGTGGCCAAAGTATTTGAGTTTCAACTTCAGGATCTGGCCTTCTAAAGAGCAGTCGGGGTTGATCTCTTCTAGGACTGACCGGTTTGAACGCCTTGCAGTCCAAGGGACTCTCAGGAGTCTTCTCCAGCACCAGAGTTCAAAGGCCTCAATTTTTTGGCGCTCAGCCTTTCTTATGGTCCAACTTTCACAGCCATACATTGCAACTGGGAAAATCAGATAATTTTACTGATGGGGGAAAAAGATGTTTCAAAGAAGGACAAGAGAAAAACCTCCTTGACAAAACAAGGATACAATCAAGCTGGAGAGGGGCAAAGTTGTTGTCATTCCTTTTATTCCCCTCCCATTAGGAATAGCTACCTTGCCAAATGTAGACCTAGCTTACGTTTCCCATGTGGGGAACCTATTTGAGAAGACAGGAAGATGTTGGGACCTATACATAAAATATGACTTTGGGGCATTTGGTGACACTGAACTCTGTTGTTGGAAAAGCAAAATGTGCAGTTTTCTGTGTGGTTTTGGGGTATCTGTGGGCATGCAGGGTGAGAGAATGAAAGAATGAGAGAGACTGAGAGAGAGAGATGAAAGAAAATGAGAGTAAATGAAGTAGGGAGAGAATGAGAGAAAGAAAATAAGATAGAGAATGAGATAGAGAATAACAGAGAGTTTACATGTTTCGCCCTCACAAACTGGTAAAACACAGGGCTGCAAAGTACATAATCTTCCAGTAAATGAATGGTCAAAATGCCATTACTGTATATTTGAAAATGATAACATCAAGAACAAAATTAGATCTTAGATCTTTTTTTCTTTTTTTTGGATTGCAGGCCATTCTTTTTTTTTTTTTTTTTTTTTAAAGTTTCAGATCTTTGAACTTTGTTATGGGGTGAAAGGGACAAGTTTCAACCAATTCAGATTTATCTTATTTGATGGACTGGCCACATTCTTTTACTTGCAACCCCTAACATTTGTAGTAAGAAAATTATTTGTAATTTTGTAAACTGCCTAGAATCAACTATGCATGAGTTGGGCAGCTATATAAATTTCTTTAATAAACAAATAAATGTAAAATAAGAGTGAAAGGGGCCTTAAGTGTCAACAAAGTAACTCATGAACAGGGACTGGCAAATTAGATATCCTTGCTACCCTCCTTCTCAATAAACCAGTTTTCCCCTTGTTCACCCACCCTCTAGAGCAGGGGTGTCAAACTCAATTTCATTGAGGTCTGCATCAGCATTGCGGTTGCCCTCGGGGGGGGGGCTGGGTGGGTATGGCCAGGGTCAGTGTGGCCTACTGGGTGGGCGTGGCCAGCTCTACATCGTTTGCATCAAGGGTGCCTGTGGGGGCCTGGGCAGGCATGGGACAGATCCGAGGGTCTCTGGGAGAAGGGGGTGGGACCGGGGCAAGCGCCAAGGCATGGTCCATTTCTTCATTCCTCACAAAGGGTGACACCTCCCCAGCATGCACCCAGGGGGCGGGGCCGATGCAGCAGGGGCTGGTTCCTCGCTGTTTCTAGACGGCCTTGTGGAGCTAAGACTGAATGTGTTTCAACATAGATGGCCACCACAAAATTGTACATTGGCTCCCCGCTGGCCTGGGCCAAGGCAGTGGGGGCCATTCCCTCACTGTTTCCAGGATGGCTTCGCGGGCCACATGAAACCACTTCGCAGGCCGCATCTGGTCCCCGGGCTTTGTGTTTAACATGTCTGCTCTGGAGAACCAAGAAAGGATGGAAAGAAAATTTCTCCCCAACAGCCTGGGTGTAATTTAATTAAACCCCAAAAAACAGAAAATAAAGCCCAAACTTTGGGGGTCACTTGGTCAGCAAAGCTGTGATGGGTGAAAGAAAAATCAATGTCATTAACTAATGCAATTCTAACTCTAGCTAAATAACTTTCAGCTTTGCCCAAGTTAACCCTTCATCCAAGACTTCAGCCAATTCCTTCACACAGAACACAGAACACCGAAAAGTCCTTTTGCCACAATTTGACAGAATGTCCTTATGTCCTTTTATAGATAGTCCTCGTCTTACAGCCACTCATTTAGCGACCTCTCGAAGTTACAACAGGACTGAAAACAGTGACTTATGACCATTTTTCACACTTATGACCATTGCAGCATCCACATGGTCACATGATCAAAATTCAGACGCTTGGCCAACTGGCTCATATTTATGATATATTTATGACAGTTGCAGTGTCACATGATCCTCTTTTTTAACCATCTGACGAGCAAGGTCAATGGGGAAGCCAGATTCACTTAACAACCATGTTACTAACTTAACAGCTGTAGTGACTCACTTAACAACTGTGGCAAGAAAGGTCATAAAATGGAGGGAAAACTCACTTAACAACTGTCTTGCTTAGGAATAGAGTTTGGGGCTCAACTGTGGTTGTAGGTCCAGGACTGCCTGGGTTAGTCTCAAGGGTCTTGGAAAGGGTCTTTAAGAAGTTGGAGTTCCCTACTGCACCTTTGGCTGGCCGCTACAGCTTTATTGCAAACTTACCCTGGAACTGGAGTAATGGCCCCCATGTTTAATGGTGATAACCAATGAGATGCTTATTCTCATCATACAACATGACACTTTAGCACAGAAGTGGGAAACGAAGGGCCCTTTGTGATTATGGACTTCAATTCCCTCCTGATTCAAGAATTCTGGGAGTTGAAGTCCACAAGTTGCTCCAAGTAATTAAGAAGTTTACAAACCTCTTGCTCTTTCTTCAGTGCCTCCATGGCTTCTCGAAATTTCTTTTCCTTGGCCTCCATTTCTGCAATGGTAGCTTGGTTCTGCTCCTCGTAAGCCATGGCCACCACAGCCAAAATCAAGTTGATTAGGTAAAAAGACCCCAAAAATATGACCAGCATGAAAAAAAGCATATAGATCTTTCCAGCAGATCTCAGAGTCTATATAAATGAGGGGAAGGGAGGGAGAGAGGAAGGGAGGGGAAGGGAGGGGAAGGGGAAGAAGAAAAAATTGGAGGGGAAAGAGATATTCAAGAGTTATTAGAACCATGCATGCTTCATCATAAACATTTGTGAATCATAACATTAGTGGATCTCATTGCATTTTCCAGAGATGACCAGCAACAGAGAAAGATGTCTTTGTGGATATATATACATACATGCATGCATGCATACATACATACATACATACTATATTTATTTGTATCCTGTCATTATTATTCTTAAATATAAGTCAAAGTGGCAAAGAGGAGGAACATCTTCCTCCTCTCACAAAAAACAAACAAACAAAAAAAAACAATAAGGTGTTTAGGCTGAGAGAAAGGTCCCTAAATGCAGGACTAGAAATCACAATCTTCTGGTGATTGGCCCAAAATCATCCAGCTGGCATTTATGCCTGGGGCAGGATTAGAATTCACCATCTCCTGGTGATTGGCTCAAAGCCACCCAGCCAGCTTTCATGCCTAAAACAGGACTAGAACTCACAATCTTCTGGTGATTGGCCTAAAGTCACCCAGCCAGCATTCATGGTGGCTGGGGCAAGATTAGAACACACAGTCTGCTAATGATGAGTCCAAAGTCACCCAATCGGCTGTCTTGCCTGGGACAGAATTAGAACTCACTATCTCATGGGGATTGGCCCAAAGCCACCCAGCCGGTTGAACTAGAACTCACAGTTTCCTGGTTTTTAGCATATTAACTTGATCACGAAACCAAAGTGGTTCTTATAAACAACTCCCATAGACTCTGGACAGCTTATAGTACAGAAACATGTCTACCCATTTTGCAACCACATAGAAACTGTTTGCCAATGACTTTGTCTAGAATATGTTTTCAACTTTTGTGTTTAGTTTTGAGATTCCTGGTCATCTCTCATCCAAGCATTCACCAAGGTTATTATTTTCCAAGCGGAGACAAGATCTACCAAGTGTTGGCATCTGCTGAGACCCTGCAGGAAAGCCAAGCTATAATGAATAAACATGACAATAAATAAGCAGGCTACCTGTTGGTAGAGACGTTCCCAGCAGTCTTGAGTCATGAGGCGGAACAAGGAGAGAAAAGCCCAGCCGAAAGTATCAAAGCTTGTGAAGCCATGGTCAGGATTGTCTCCAGCCTTTAAACACCTGTAGCCTGGTGGACATGTGCTGCAGAAGATAAAGTAGATCTGATGAGCTACACTAACTACTTGCTTATCAATGGAAAACACCTGAAGGCAGAACAAGAAGCAACGGATGGAAACTAATCAAGGAGAGAGAAGCAACCTAGAACTAAGGAGGAATTTCCTCACAGTGAGACCAATGTGGAACAGTTTGCCTCCAGAAGTTGTGGGTGTTCCATCACTGGAGGTTTTTAAGAAGTGATTGGACATTATTATTCTGAATAACAACTCTGTTATTCTGTTATTCTGCTATTGAATATTCATCTCTCCTCCTCCCAATAAAAAATAAATAAAATGGACAAGCAGTTTTTAAAAATCAGCTAACATATTCAATGTCTAGTCCAAGGGTAGGCAACCTTGGCTCTTTTATGACTCGTGGACTTCAACTCCCAGAATTCCTGAGTCAGCATGGCTCAGCTTGCAAACCTCTCCTTTTCGCCTCAGCATGGCTGGCTCAGGAATTCTGGAAGTTGAAGTCCACGAGTCATAAAAGAGCCAAGGTTGCCTACCTCAGGTCTAGTCCATAACATGCTATGCTCGTTCAACACTACAAACGAATTTGGCTGAAGCCATTTTCCCTTTGTTTTCAGTTGGCACAGATTTGGGAAGAGGGGATAAGTATTTTTTTTGCTTAGTCAAAACAATAAATTGTTCTGTGGGAACCAAGGTCACTGCTGATTGCATTTTGACCTTAGAAAGCCCGCTCAAGTAGTTAATTGGGGAATGTGATTTATGACATATTACTGGGGTGGGAAGCTCAACTTTGTAACCTTTGGGAGGGAACTTCAGTCTTGGTTTCACTTTTGATCATGCCGATATTATATAGCCAAATAAATATGTCCTTTAAAGGAAACTTTTTTGCCTTGGGGTTCTCATCTATCGGAATCATGACATCTTGATTTTATCCAAAATCTATAAAAAGGTTAGGAAGCAGCAGTGCATAGCTTCCTGTATTCCAGAGCATGGCAATACAGAGAAAAACAAGTCTCTACTGTATAGTCTTTGACTTACAACCATTCATTTAGTGACTGAAAAAAGTGGCTTATGACCGTTTTTCACACTCAAGACTGTTGTAGCATCCTCATGACCACATGAACAAAATTCAGACATTTGACCACTGGCTTGTATTTATGATGGTTGCAATGTCCCAGAGGACATGAGCTCTTCTGACAAGCAAAGTCAGTGAGGAAACTAGAGTCACTTAACAGCCCTGTTACTAACTTAAAAACTATAGTGATTCACTTAACAACTGTGGAAAGAAAGGTTATAAAATGGAGCAAAAATCACTTCACAATTGTCTCAATCAGCAAGAGAAATTTTGGGGGCCCAGGGAAGCGGCAATGTAAATGCAACTGCAAACTTGATGGTGTGTCAACTTTGATTCTTAGGATCAAAGTTAGAATTGAAGTCGAGACATTGTCAAGTTGCCATTTTCAAGAAGCATTGCTCTAGTCTAAACAAACCAACTGTTAATTAAGCCTTCCATCCTTCCGGGGTAGGTAAAATGAGGACCCAGATTGTTGGGGGCAATGTAAATGTATATACATTGCTTACTGGTGTACACTGCTTAGAGAGTGCTTGCACTTAAAGCGGTATATAAGTCTCATAAATAAATAAATAAATAAATTAAACAGCCTGAATTTTGAAATACAAAGAAAAGGAAGAAAAATATTCTAAGACTGAATCATAGTCACATACAAGGCCCTCAATTACATTGGCACACAAATGAAATCATGGATAATGTATTATGATTGTTAAATAAATGGTTAGTCATGAGCAGATATTAAAGTTACTCAGTACAGCTATTCATTTATTTATTCATCCTATTTATATGTTTGCCCATCTCGCAATCAAATGACTGTGGGTAGCACATGATAAAGATAAAAACAGTACAGACAAATTCATATTGATATTATTAAAAACTTTAAAAATATAAATGGCACATAGCAAAAATTAAAAAGACACTGGGCAAAGAGCAGAGTTGATTACAGGTAGTCCTTGACTTATAACAGCCCATTTAGTGACCATTCAAAATTAAAATGGCATTGGATTTATGACCATTTTTCACACTTATGACTGTTGCAGCATCTTCGCAATCACATGTTCAAAATTCAGAAATTTGGCAACTGACTCGTGTTTATAACAGTCGCAGTGTCCCGGAGTCACGTGATCACCTTTTGCAAACATCTGACAAGCAAAGTCAAAAGGGGAAGCCACATTCACTTAACAACCATGTTACTAACTTAACAACTGCAGTGATTCAGTTAATAACAGTGGCAACAGAGATTGTAAAATGGAGGAAAACTCACTTAACAATTGTCTCAGCAACATAAATTTTGAGCTTAATCATGGCCATAGGTCAAGGACTACCTTGTATGCTGAAGCCATTTCAATATTAAGGGGACTGGAGGCTAAAGCATATAAGGAACGGTTGCTGGAATTGGGTATGTCTAGTTTAATAAAGAGAAGGACGAGGGGGGACATGATAGCAGTGTTCCAATATCTCAGGGGCTGCCACAAAGAAGAGGGAGTCAAGCTATTTTCCAAAGCGCCTGAAGGCAGGATAAGGAGCAACGGGTGGAAACTAAATCAAGGTGAGAAGCAACCTGGAACTAAGGAGAAACTTCCTGACAGAGAAAACAATTAACCAGTGGAACAACCTGCCTCCAGTAGTGGTGAATGCTCCAACACTGGAAGTTTTTAAGAAGAAACTGGACAGCCATTTGTCCGAAATGGTATAGGGTTTCCTGCCTGAGCAGGGGGTTGGACTAGATGACTTCCAAGGTCCCTTCCAATTTTATCATTATTATTATTATTTTGTCAGTCCACAAACATGGTTTAGGCCTAAGGACACAACCAAGTCTTAATAGACTTCCAGAACGTCAGAAGAGATAAAGCTAAGCCCATTTTAGGGGAAAAGGGTGATCCTAAAGTAGGGGCCACTGCAAAAAAGGGGCCACCACTGAAGACTTTTCAGATAAAGCTCCTTGGCTGACGGAACTTGCAACGGGCCCTCATTATTGAATCTATTCAGGACTGACCTCATTAAATGGAAACTGAAGAAATTCTACTGAAGCAAAACAGTTAACTGGAGACCTAGTTGTTAAATGAAATTGCAAAATACATATATTGTGACAGCCGTCTTCCTACATACATTCTGCTCTACAAGCAAGTGAGATAAACATAGATGATAGGCTAAGAAAGGAAAAGACGGTGAACGGCCAGCAAAATAATGTGGCAGATATTGTAAGAGCTGGATCGATTTTAATCTCAAAGGAACCAGCAAACAGGCTTCATGGCCTTTATGCTAGAGTCATAACACATTGAAATAGGATAAATATTTTCCTGCTTAATTTTGGGTTTTAGGTTGTGTTTGTAAGAATAAGTTATGGGCTCACAGCATTTTGGAGGTTTTTTTCCTATGCCACTTTCCTCCTCTCTTTTCCCCTTCTAGGTTCTGCATCTTTGAACTGCTATTTTATTTTCCCACAATGCTCCCAATGTAGCATCACTCGGAGGCATGATGGGAAATTCAAATGATGCAGTATTCCAAGTGTGGCCTTACCAAGACATTGTAGAGTGGTATTAATACTTCACATGATCTTGATTCTATCCCTCTGTTAATGCAGCCTAGCACTGTGTTGGCCTTTTTGGCAGCTGCAGCACACTGCTGGCTCATATTTAAGTGATTGTCCACTAGGACTCCAAGATCCCTCTCACAGTTACTACTATTGAGCAAGGTACCCCCTATACTATACCTGTACATTTGGTTTTTCTTGCCTAAATGTAGAACCTTACTTTTTTCACCATTGAATTTCAAATTTCAAATAGTACTGAGGAAGTCACTCAGAATGTTAGGAGCCTGATTACAGGGAGTCCTCGACTTATGACCACAATTGAGCCCAACATTTTTGTTACTGACACATTTGTTAAGTGAGGTTTGCCCCATCTTACCACCTTTCTTGGCACAGTTGTCAAGTAAATTACTGTGGCTAAGTTAAGTTAGTAACATGGTTGTTAAATGAATTTGGCTTCCCCACTGACTTTGCTTCTCAGAATATCGCAAAAGGGAATCACATAATCCTCAGACACTGCGACCATCATAAATATGAGTCAATTGATAAGTGTCTGAATTTTGATCGTGTGGCTATGGCAGTGTTTCTCAACCTTGACAATTTTAAGGCATGTGGACTTCAACTCCCAGAATTCCACAGCCAGCATTGCTGGCTGTGGAATTCTGGGAGTTGAAGTCCACATGCCTTAAAATTGTCAAGGTTGAGAAACACTGGGCTATGGGGATGCGGCCACAGTTATAAGTATGGGAAACGGTAATTAATCACTTTTATCAGTATTGTCATAATTTCAAAAGGTTGCTAAATGAATTGTTGTGAGTCGATGACTACTTGTATTAGTGAAGAACCTGTTTGCTTTTCCAGAGGATTGCACATAAAAACTGAATCTGCCCAAGAATCAGATGTGGGTTCATTCAGCAGCTATAAAGCCATGCAGTTCATTGACTTTGGGATCCTGATTTTAGCCTAATTTAACCCTTCAATCAGAATCCCATCTGCAAGGATGTCACTTCCTATGTGACATAGGAAATTAGAAAAATATCAAAAAGCGCTAGAATCAGCATTGCTATTCAACCTAATATTGATCCTTCCCCTAAAATTAGTTACGCTGGTTGTGTTCAGACAAAAACTAGGTAGTCCTCGACTTGACCACTTGAGACCCAAATAGAGGTCTGAAGGCTAAAGCATATAAGGAACGGTTGCTGGAATTGGGTATGTCTAGTTTAATGAAGACAAGGATGAGGGGGGACATGATAGCAGTGTTCCAGTATCTCAGGGGCTGCCCCAAAGAAGAGGGAGTCAAGCTATTCTCCAAAGCACCTGAAGGCAGGACAAGAAGCAACGGGTGGAAACTAACCAAAGAGAGAAGCAACCTAGAACTAAGGAGAAACTTCCTGACAGTGAGAATAATTAA